CATCCCACAAATCTCCATCAACTGCAAGATGCTATCCATCAATATGGGCCAACATTTCTAAAGAATGCTTTCAGCACCTTGTTGAATCAATGCCACGTAGAATTAAGGCAGTTCTGAAGGCGAAAGGGGGTCAAACACAGTATTAGTGTGGTGTTCCTAATAATCCTTTAGGTGAGTGTATATTCTAACTCTAACTCTTCTTAAAAGTTCTTATTTTTAATAGTGCCAGTAGGGCCTACCTACACATCTAAGTTCCCTTATCAATGAAAAGCACTTAGTATTTATCAGCTTCTGGTCTGGCTGGTTTTTAAATTGTGAATGTTGTACTGGTTTTCAGGTCAGAAAGGAAAAGATGAAGCCATCCAGATGTATTGCTCATGAGGGCTGCTTGAAATCACCCTTTTCTTAATAACCACGTGTTGAAACTTTAAAGGACCGGAAGACATTTACACCTGAGCATTTGTTCCAATTCTGGTTGAACCAGTTTGTCAACACAGAAAATCAATGGTAAAATCAGGAAAAAATAAGGAATCGTTCGCAATAACATGCTGTTGCAAATTGTTGCTTACAATGACAGAATCTTGTTTGGACACATTTACTTGAGCAGGGAGGTCTAGATGAGCAGTTATGTAATCAATCAATCAGATCAATATGCTTCAGCTAACAAGTCAATTTACAATTGGATCCTTATTTCCTGTACTATAATGTTTTTCATGTTCATGCTGTATGTGTTTCTCTGTACTTTCTCCATGTTCCTTTTCTGCCCTAGTTTTGGCTCAGAAGCACTTCAGCTGATTGCTGAACGAGGTCCACCTGGCCTTGGAAGGCGGTCTTTAAAAGCTCCTGTGCAAGCGTCAGAAATTTGGGACTGCTGGGGCCTGCACCAAGAAGCGAGTTCAACATACCCAGGATCTCTTTCACGTTATCTGGCTTAACTAACCCTAACAATCGCGGTCGGGAGAAGGGGCTCTGGGGCATTTATTCCTGTATTCTTGAGAATTTTATGCAAGTAGAGTGAATAACTAAATGAGCCTTTAAAATACTAAAACTAGTAACACCTGTTTAACTCTCCTATAGTAAAGAAATCAACTCAGCTGAGCCCTTGAATACAATAAATAAATAAGCCATATCATCATGAATCTTACCATAAACTGCTGCTTTGACTCTGTTCTGCTCTTGCCCTCATCTCTGCTGTCTGTCTCATGTTCACCATGTCAGCGCTGGTGCTGCTGGTCAGTGGTGCGTAGAGTACTAATCTTTACTCAAGTAGAAGTACAATTCCCATAAAAAGAGAATAAATGACACACCTACTCATGTATCAATATTATAATATATTTTATCTGCTGTTCATCAGGTTAGAAACAGCTGCAACATGGTTATTTGTAGGGAATGCAATTTGCTTTGCTGGTTGATTATCTTTAGCTATTTCTGTTTAAAAAAATTATTTCCCTTTTTAAATCTCCATGAAGGTGTTGATAAGATCACTTTAAAATATCAGCTTGCTGCCCAGCCGACTATTGTTGCCTGTATCTTTTATTATGGACATGTAGCCAACCAAACCACTTGCTTTGTAGTAGCTCAGGAAGCCTGATTATTCCTAAAGCATCTAAATAATCTTCACAATGCAAACAATTATTGTGGCAGAGCAGCTTGTTGTTGAAGCAGGTCTGTTTTATCCACCCATATTTTCTCTCTCCCTGCATCTCAAAAATAATTGTTTCCTGAATAAATAACAGCTGGTAGCTGAAAGATTAGTTTCACCTGCAACATTCTGTTTATGGACTCACCGTCGGACATCGCTATAAAACAAATAGTAACCGATGTGTATTAAAGAAAAGAAACAGGCTAATGTCCAAAGCGATGCTCTGTTCAACAACAGGTGCAGTGGTCATCTGACATAGATGTTACAGTGTGTAGGCTAGTCTTCATTTGCTCTGCAGAGACTAAAGACGCTTTTAACTCGGTGTTAATGGAAAGTCAAAGTATTTCACTTGCCGGCTTGTGAAAGAGCGACGCAGGCTGCTTTCCAACACGGTCACCAGTGCCATGGTGCGCGCTCACTAGGTTTCAGTTGTATTAGTAGAACAATAAAGTCTTAAACAGAGAAGAGATTTGCCTGATTTTCAAAATGTTTCCATCTGCCCAGCTCTGTGACTGTGACAAGCGCGCGCACAGCCTGGATGACAGCTCATTTCGGGTAATGAAGCAAAATGCAGATTACAGACTGGTTAAGTTATGAAGGTATGAAAGGAAAATGTAGCGAAATTAAAAGCACATTAGATGTACCCACCCCTGCTGCAGACATCATCACTCAGGGACGTGCACAGGAATTTTGAAGGGCAGTTGCTCTGACCTGAAAAAAGGCACTAAACACAGTATCCAAAATGTATTAACAATATAAATGTCACCAAAATACATATGAGAAAAAGAGTTCCTTATATTATTGTTTATTGTTTTTTAATCATTATTATTATTATTTTTTTCCTTTTTTTTATTTGAAAATAAATAATCTAGATTGAATTGACAGATGGGGAAAACTCGCTTCTAATAAAATATTAAATAAAAAAACGCTTAGATTTCGGAAAAAAATACAATCCTTTTTTAACCTTTTGGCTTCCCGTACATTCAGTTGCGCTTCTAGCTCGTATTCACTTCTGTTGGTACGTATCACGTGGTAACTGGGCAAAACTACGCATGATTTGTTGTAGTATGATTGCATAAAGGAAGGAAACAGGAATTCCGGTAGGGAACAGAATCGACTGACGTGCAGGCAGCGCTGCAGCAGTGCAGCCACTTAAACAGAGTTTGCTCTTCCCCTACTGACTTTCACTTTCGGTGCCCGAATGGAAGTGAATGAGGCTTTGCGATCGCGATTATTTTTTTATTTTATTTTTTTTTCTCGGAAGGGCGAGTCGGAAGGGCAACTTGAGTCAGGAAAGGCAAACGGGCAGTTGCCCGGGCAACCAGAGCAACCCCCCTGTGCACGTCCCTGTCATCACTGCTGCCTTCAGCTAGAAGTAACAGTAGCACAAAAGAAGAAGCTGCACCGGCCTCAAGCAACTTCTTTTTTGTGTTGAACATTTCTATACATTTTGTCCGCGACTGATGTGAACTGTGAGTGATTGACTGGTCACTTAGTAAACCGCCTCCTATATGAGCCAGCTCCGAAATAGCCAGAGCCAGGAAGGCAATGCGAAATAAAACTTTACATTAGGAAAGAGGGGCGGACAAAACATAGATTTTGAAGAAATGAAATATGTATAATGCCTCCTCTGCCTATCAGGTGATTAACCTCACCACATATACATACATTAAAGGTTTTATTGCTCTTTTTATATTATTGCGTTGTGGTAACACATCACAATTAAGGCAAGACACCATAGTTACTTCTTCTTGAGTTGGCAGTCATCACTGAGGGCCAACCAACTCATCCTTTAATGTTTTTGGTTAAGGTGGGTAAAAGTCAGAAAACACTTGAAATTGTGGAATGGTACTGTAATGTCTATGTAGAGCTGTATCATATTTAGTCAGGTTAGCTACATCATTTCAGTTGCAGGCTATGGTAACAAGGGTTTTGTAATTGATGAAAATAACTATGGAACAGCCATCAGGAGCAACTTGGGGTTCAGTGTCCTGCCCAAAGACACTTGTACTACAAACTCAGACCTCCTGAGCCACAGCACAAACCACTGATAAGTTTGGTAACACTTTCTTTGAAGCTCATCGCTATAATGAATTATGCATTTATTTATAACACAATATAATGCTTCCATAAGACCTTTATAACAATTGTTATAATCACTTAAAAACATGCATTAGGCTCTATTGCAAACTTCAAAGTCATTATGACTTTTTGATTTAATTTTTTAATAGTAATACCAGTTTATACCACAGTGTGCGCCAAGAATCCACGACCATGTTCCATAAAACCATCGACTCTGCCTCGTTATAAATACACTTTAGTCACAATTTAGAATTAGTGATATAAAATGGAATAATATCTTATAGTAATGTTTAATGTTAACATGTCTTTGTTTAAGTAAATTGTTAAAATGCCCATCCCTGTATAATTTATTACAGGTGGAAATAATAATATATGAACTAATTATAAGAACTTATAACATGTAATTGTTTGTTTTAAGTAAAGTGACACACATTTTGCGCAGGAAAACATTTTATTTATGTTTCTTAATGAACAGTCTGTATGAGTTTTGAACACTGTGCTTAGCAATAAATCTTAAACCATTGGAAAGCTTGTTTATGTCCCTTTTAATTGGAGCCACATTTTTAAGGAACATGTTTTTGTGGGATTAGCAGCAGAGTGTGTCCGTTGCACCCTTGAAAAATTTGCCAAATCTAATCTGAACATATCCAATTTATCTTATTCTGTTCCTGATATAATTACCTGTCCAGGCTGCAGGAGGCATCTCCTCCTCTGAGGCACTTCCTCTGAGGCTAAAGGCCACTTTTGAGAGCTTCCCATATTTTTAGTTTCATTAACCTTAAATTAAATTACTTTTATTATTTTTTCAGATAATGATGAAGCATTTTATGCTTTCAGTTTTTGTACTTGGGTGGCTAAAGGTGCAAATTGTGTGAAATCCCAACTAGTGAAAACAAACGCTCCGTACAATCATTAAGTGAATAACTTAATATTGTTTATCTTTCCCAAAAATTACTTGCTATAATTCCATCAGAATTTCTTATTTTCATATATATATTTTTTTCTCTCCTTTATTTCTTTCTTTTTTGAAAAATGTAACATGGCAGCTTATTTCTTTCAAATAGTTTTAATTATACAGTCATAGTGTTACATCTATTCCAAAAACTGCTATAAACTGCGACGACAAGTTTTAGTTACTGTCAGTCATGACATAGTAGTGACTGTAATAAGACAATTTAACAATGTCCTAATATATTTCAGTCAGTCCATAAATAAAATGCACTACAACTCAATGTATATCGATGCAAAATGAATACCACAAGAATTAAACAACAAATAATATTTTTTCATGTTTTTAATAATATTTTTAATAGCAGTAAAATGATTGGACAAACAGCGTGAGCACACAGGTTAGAGCTTCTCTTTATATCGAGGTATCAGATCATGACGCAAAAATTACAAACTAATCTCGGATGAATCCAGGAGAACGCTTTCACTGTAGCGACAGAGATTGCACATTTCAATTCCCCACTCTGACGCCTTCACCGTTGTGTCCCTGAGCAAGACACTTAACCCCTAGTTGCTCCAGAGGTTTGTGACCTACGACATATAGCAATTGTAAGTCGCTGTGGATAAAAGCGTCAGATAAATGAATAATTGTAATAAATGTAACGAGAATTATAACGTACACAGAAAGGCTTTAACCTTGTTTTGTGTATTTCTACTCAGCAGAGAATGTACAGAGGATCCCCCAGTGATCGCTGGTGAAGCAGCCACACTTCAGCTTCTCCAGCCCTATCAAGGTCATGCTGTCGGGTTCCAGCTGCGGGACCCCATCTTTGGAAGCCCGGCGCAGGTAAAGCCGGTCGAAGCGTAACTGACACTTGAACTGAATTTCTCTGTTGGTGTTGATTGTGGTGTCCCATGTGTAGCGGCAATTCTCCGGCTTTCCCAGCTGCTCCCACACATCACAGACGCAGTCAGGAAGGCCAACTCTGGCCACCTAGCAGGTATGAATAAAAAGGTGGGCTATGGATTAATATTTAAACAATGTTTTTAAGTGTTATTATCTTCTTTTGCGGCTTTCTTTAACAGCTGAGTGGAAAAAATGCCAAGATACGAGGGAGGGGGGGATGAGGAATGACATGCAACAAAGGTCTCTGGCAGGTCACCTAAACCCGCAGGCCACTACTGTGCCCTGATCTGTTTTATCTTAATACAGCTGGAAACATGTTTGCTTTTTTAAAATGTAATTTATAACCCCACAAACTGCTATAGTAAGTTAACGATATGCTCCTTCATCTCTGAGGTAACGCCTGTAACAAGCTAGCTAGTTGAACATGATAAAGTTAGAGCAGATTGACTCCTGTGTTCTGGTTTTGGCTAAAAACTATTTTAAAACCGAGTATCTCTCTGACTACAACCTTCGCTCGGAGCCTGGAGCCTGCAGAAGAGTTGAGGAGCAGCAGAGGTCTTATTCTTTCAAACTTATTTTTTCAAATTAAAGAGGCAAACCTCAGAATCCCTCAGGTTGGCGTCTCCTCCAAACAGGACAGTGACATCATCAGGCGCCTCTGTCATCCTCTTCATCACCAGTCGCAGCTGTCTCATCCGCTCTGCCGCATTGGGCTTACAGCTCTCTAAGTGGGACGTCATCAGACAAAGCTTCTGGCCTTTGAACAGCACCTGATTTTGAAGGAGAGACCTTTTTTACGTCTCTGCACCAGGAACAGGTGACTTGTAGCTCATGGGTGTGCACAAACCTGAGCGACAAGCAAGTTCCTCATCATCCGGGTGGTTGGATAGTCGACTATCTCACTGTCCAGCAGTGTGATTCGAGACTTCTTCAGCATCATCCCGATGAAGTAACCCTCCTTACCACCTGATCAGCATGAGTGAACAGAGGAATAAAAGTGAATATGTATACTGTTTGAGATGGCTGTTGCACTGGACTGAACCACAAACTGTTCTCTGTGTTTTGGGTCCATCAGTAAAAATACACATGGGAGCGACAACTTGGCTACAACCAGTCACGCTCACAATGAAAGCGAAGAAGAGAGTTGTTTTCTATCCACTTAACTGCCTAAAAGAACTCTTAGGTATGTGGGAAAAGCTGATTAATGCGGTAAAGAGCTTCTCAATCCTTCACAATACAAGTTTAATGAGTTACCTGGAGTTGAAAAAGAACAGTTATTGATCAGGAAATGAACAACTAAGTCATGACTGCCCAATTTCCCCCAGACCCAACTGTTCTGCTCCTGCTTCCATAGTTTGACTAAAGTAATAATAGTACTAGAGTACAAACTGTACATGATAACGTTGGTTTGGACATGTGGAACAGTTGAGCATGTTTTTGTTGATGATAGGACTTCCTATATGTACATTTCGAGTAATAATTTGCTTGAATTTGGAACCCCTGGTGACGTGTATTAGGTGCCTGACCACTGGACGGCACATGGTGTTGAATCAACAACGTTTGACGAGTAAAGACCCAGAGCAAAATCTCTCCCAGAAAGGTTTCGTATGTACCTTCAATGAAGGTGTAGTTGTCCGCCAGACGTTTCTTCATGAAGCGGCTGTACGGTGGGATGAGCTCCTGAAGAAACACCACGTCAGGGGAGTGTCTATGTGGAGACAAATTGAAGAAGGAGACAGAACTTCTGTGTCAAAGGTCAAGACTGAACCTTAAAATCCCCATGATGTTTCAAAACATCAACAGAAACATTTCCTTTCCAGAGATTCATATTTTTACTCTTAGGTTTTCAAAGTGGGAGGCAGCAGGCTTCTCCAGGGCGGCTCCAAACTGTTTCATGGGAGGCTCAGTGAACAAATATTATGCTAGTTATTTCATTAGTTATCAAAAGGGAATATAGAACAGCCTAAATGTTTGTGATTTGGTGAAAGATATACAGTAGTTTTGGAGAATTTTACAGTTTTCCAGAGATTAATAAATGCCTTAGGACAGACCTTTATGATTTATTTGGAGTAGTCTGTGCTGACAAACAGCAATATTAGGCTGTCCTGGCTTAATTCTGTCTGTCAATGTGATCATATTACACAACCACGATCCCTTAGGCATCCACAACTTAAGCATAACTAACCAAGTAAACAGGGAGGGGCGCCTTTTGCATTGTTTGAGAGGAGGAACTGTAGAATATTTTAAGCTGGTGATGCTTAACACTTCCCTTTACGGTCTCCTTGTTTTTGTTTTTCTCTGCAGATTTTTCTGTAAAGCACTTTGTAACCTTGTTAAGAAAAGTGCTACATAAATTATGTTTATTGTTACTATTATGTATTTCAGCAGTACAGTCGTTCGACTTAAGACATGTTTTTAAGTCCTGCAGTGGTCTGAAAATAAAAACTATTAATACGCTGTACAGATTTAAATGTTGTGATAGTGAGCTCTAAAATTGACTTGACAACAAAGATGTCAGAATTTGGGGAAATCAAACTGAAACTATCTGCAAGGGTACATAGAAGAAGAAGCAAGAGAGAAAAGTTTGAGAGAAAAAACACAGACTCAGCACCCAGGCAGTAAGAGTGAAGAAGCACAGACTTACAAGGTCAGGTAAGAGCAGAGGCCTCTCGCTCTCTCAGGTTGTTCCTCTCCATCAAGCCCATCCACGTTCCAGGAGATCAGCGACAGTTTGCTGTTTTCTTCTACTTCTGATGGGTTTTCTGCAACATCACTGCAGACAGCAGGACTGTCCTGAGCCTCATTTGCAGGGCTCTCAAGTTTTATTAAATGTTTGGAGTGAGATAACGCGTGTTAGGGGAGGAGCCACTCAAATATTTGCAGCAGCCGCCCCTCGGCCCCAGCCAATTCTCTCAAGTTTTTACTAACAGTTAATTTAGATCTATAGTTTATAATTGACCCTAACAAATAGAAATGATAAAAATAGGTACAAACGTAGCCTATCAAAAATAAAAAGAGATTTGGCCCCAAACGAGGCCGACGAACAGCAGTGCTCAATGTATATCGTACACATAGGCCTACTGTAGTATTGTAGAACTTGCCCTTCAATTAGATACTTTAAAAAATAGGCTTTTAGAGAGTTTAAATGTGATGTTTTTGTATCATTTTAATTAATTAGTCATTTTTCATGTAAAAACATTTCATGGTTCCAGCTTTACAAATTTACAATTTTGAGGTTTGGACTGACAAAACAAGCATGCAAAGTGTCACGCAGGGCTCTCTCACTATTTTCAGAATTTATTACAATCGATTAATGGAGAAAATAATCAGCTGACTGATACTGAAAATAATCATTAATAGCAGTCTGATAAAAAATAGTTCAACCACAACCAACTACATTAATGCATGAGGAATAATAATCAAATGATATTATATATAGGCTAATAGTATAACAGTCATATGGGACATTTTTCTTTCTGCTTTGAGTAGGCTACTTTTATTTTTAATAGGCTACGTCGACATTTTCCTGCTTATAGCCTAATAACTCTGAAAAACTAATTCAGGGGGACCTTTAGTCATTACTTAAATATATACATTGTTGTGAAATAATATCAAGTTCTAAGATACTGTTAGACTTTTTACTTGTAATTGTTACTTTATTGAGCTTGGATGACACATATTATGCCTATTGATTCAATATACTATCATGACTTGTCAGTTAATCAAAAATTTATTTAATTTTAAGTTCTGTTAACGTAAAATACAATTTGTTGTCCTTACTCTGAAATTTGAGCAGTGTTGATAGTACCGTCTGTGTGCCGAGGTAAAGTTAGCTAGTAGCTGTAGCCTGTCACTGATTGAGTAGGCTTAAATGCCGGAGTAATAGCTGGCCAGGCAGCCAGGGAAAACATCTTGGCAAGCTAACTTATTATGGGATTACCCATTAGCCACCGCTCTGGGTTAGCATGTAGGCTAGCTACATTTATAAACTACAAGTAGCTAGACATGATTAGACTATGATTCAGATGAGAAGAAATACTAAAGAAACCTCACCAACACACAACTTAACTCTTGCAGAGATCAACTTAATTATTAAGTTCGTGTTACTTAGAAATGTGTTTTATTGTGGACAAAAAGCCTCTTGACCAAACTTAAAACATTATGTTGGATCAACTTAAATACTAGCATTCATGTTAACAATTATTAAGTTCATGTTACTTAGAAATGTGTTTTATTGTGGCCAAAAAGCTTCTTGACCTAACTTAAAACATTATGTTGGATCAACTTAAATACTTGCATTCATGTTAACAATTATTAAGTTCATATTACTTAGAAAAGTGTTTTATTGTGGCCAAAAAGCTTATTGACCTAACTTAAAACATTATGTTGGATCAACTTAAATACTTGCATTCATGTTAACAATTATTAAGTTCATATTAGAAATGTGTTTTATTGTGGCCAAAAAGCTTCTTCACCTAACTTAAAACATTATTTTGGATCAACTTAAATACTTGCATTCATGTTAACAATTATTAAGTTCATATTACTTAGAAATGTGTTTTATTGTGGCCAAAAAGCTTATTGACCTAACTTAAAACATTATGTTGGATCAACTTAAATACTTGCATTCATGTTAACAATTATTAAGTTCATATTACTTAGAAATGTGTTTTATTGTGGCCAAAAGCTTCTTGACCTAACTTAAAACATTATGTTGGATCAACTTAAATACTTGCATTCATGTTAACAATTATTAAGTTCATATTACTTAGAAATGTGTTTTATTGTGGCCAAAAGGCTTCTTGACCTAACTTAAAACATTATGTTGGATCAACTTAAATACTTGCATTCATGTTAACAATTATTAAGTTCATATTACTTAGAAATGTGTTTTATTGTGGCCAAAAAGCTTCTTGACCTAACTTAAAACATTATGTTGGATCAACTTAAATACTTGCATTCATGTTAACAATTATTAAGTTCATATTACTTAGAAATGTGTTTTATTGTGGCCAAAAAGCTCCTTGACCTAACTTAAAACATTATGTTGGATCAACTTAAATACTTGCATTCATGTTAACAATTATTAAGTTCATATTACTTAGAAATGTGTTTTATTGTGGCCAAAAAGCTTCTTGACCTAACTTAAAACATTATGTTGGATCAACTTAAATACTTGCATTCATGTTAACAATTATTAAGTTCATATTACTTAGAAATGTGTTTTATTGTGGCCAAAAAGCTTCTTGACCTAACTTAAAACATTATGTTGGATCAACTTAAATACTTGCATTCATGTTAACAATTATTAAGTTCATATTACTTAGAAATGTGTTTTATTGTGGCCAAAAAGCTTCTTGACCTAACTTAAAACATTATGTTGGATCAACTTAAATACTTGCATTCATTTTAACAATTATTAAGTTCATATTACTTAGAAATGTGTTTTATTGTGGCCAAAAGTCTTCTTGACCTAACTTAAAACATTATGTTGGATCAACTTAAATACTTGCATTCATGTTAACAATTATTAAGTTCATATTACTTAGAAATGTGTTTTATTGTGGCCAAAAAGCTCCTTGACCTAACTTAAAACATTATGTTGGATCAACTTAAATACTTGCATTCATGTTAACAATTATTAAGTTCATATTACTTAGAAATGTGTTTTATTGTGGCCAAAAAGCTTCTTGACCTAACTTAAAACATTATGTTGGATCAACTTAAATACTTGCATTCATGTTAACAATTATTAAGTTCATGTTACTTAGAAATGCGTTTTATTGTGGCCTAAAAGGTAATTCACCATACTAAAAACATTGGTTTGAATTAATGTAATTCTGCCAGCAGTCTTAACTTAAAAATTCTAGTGGAAAACGTTAACTTTTCTCTTAACGTTAATTTTATATTTTTGACCCAATGTTTTATTTTTTAGAGTGTACTTTTACTTAACTTTTTCAAAGCGGGGTAGGCCTAGACTATTAGTACTTTTATTAAAAGATCTGGATATAACTTAGTGTTCACCACTGGGTGAAAAAGCCAAACGCTTCTGGTTGTAAGAGACTGGAGAGTTTTTGTCTGCATCAGTAATAATTTAGCATGAGTTTGGCTACAGGATACTCCACAACACCAGCTGCTCTCACTAAAAGATTCGGCACCTACAGTGACCGCGCCCAACTTCCACTCACTCCGTATGTGCACGCGCATCCTAGTAACGAACGTGCTTGCAGCGTTCAAGCAACTTCGTTTCTGAACTTACTTCTCAGCGTGAGAAACACAAGGTGTGGCGTGTGAGCGTGTGAACTGGCTGAAATGCGCGTGTCTCACGGTGAATGCGTGAGACTTGAGAGCCCTGCTCATTGGTGCTGTTGGATTTGAACATTACTGTGTTAATGCATAAACAGCAGCATTAGACTACATTGAAGTACCTGCTTCCTGGAGGATTTTCCTCACCCTCCTTTCTGTTGGTTGTGCAGCTGGCTTTCTCCTCTGGTGACTCTCCTACAGCACAGACTTGCTCCATGTCAGTTTCAAGCTTTCTGGAAGATGAGTAGTAGCAAAAATATCAGTCATCCAAGGATTACAGCAGAGTTATGCTTAGTGTGACTCACATAAAGGTGTGGAGTTAAGATTCTGTCACGTGATGTGTAACTGAACATGTAGATAACATGTAGAGTAAACAAATGAAAGGCACACAAGCCACAAAGATCTAGCTGTGCCATCATAAATATAAATGGGCCGTAAAATAGAGAGGGCGACTGACTGGGGAGTTTATGCACCGTCTCAGGTGAAATACTGTGTAATAATCTGGCACTAAAGTGTAAATTAAACTAATTTAGTGCTCACCTGCCATCACAATACTGTCAGCCTTGAAGTGTTCTCAGACTGTGGAACTTGAATGTCTGAAGATATTATCAAGTAGTAAAAAGGTAGCAAATGTTATCAATGTATTGGTATTAATAAAAAAAATGTTAGTTTCTGTTAATACTTACACATGGTATTGATCTTTAAAGTAGTATTTTAATGAAGTTTTATAGGCTACAAAAACAAGCTGCTTTTTCAATGTTTTATCAGTAGCTTTAATTTTGATAGGCCAGAACACTCAGTGACAGAAAAGACTTGATGATGATGAATGTTATTATTGTCCATGTATCATAGTAGCAGGGTTCAGCCTATCCAATTAATTTATCAACAACCATAATCACAAATTAAAGCTGCAAGCAGCGTTGGGCGGGCCCTCGCACTTGTAGCGCGTCCGCGCGTGAACCGGCCGAGTTGCATATTCTGGAGCTCAGCCGGTGCGGCTGTGAATTTGTTACGCGGTTCCGACGCCGCATGAAGGTGCTATATGTCACTTCCTGTGTCCCCTATGTGGAGCTACATAGCACTTGCCGCTATGAATATAAATCGGTATTGGCGTGTAGATGTCTGCGGGGTGGGAGAGTTATCAAGCACGTAAAGTTTGTTTCAGATGTGAGCATGTACACTGAACAATAATGTACCCAAACAATAAAATAAATTCCTTTTATATTTCCCTGCCTTGTTGTTTATGTGTACATACAGAGGAAGAATGTGAGAACAGCACACATTTCATCGTTACTGTGTTTCTGCTCCAGCCTGCCTAAAAGAAAAGCGTTTTTGGGATTAAATGGACTTTTTTAGCTGCTGCAGTGCAGGATGAACTCAGAATAGACCCATTTCTCACCTTATTATTCTAAACCATGCAACGAAGAAGAAGAAATGCATAATAAATCCTGGGACAAAATCTGTCCACAAATACTGTACAGCATGTAGTCTAATGAACAAGACTTGTGTTATAGCTGACTTGGGCAGTGAAATGTTTAATTTTTTTAATTCATGTGGTCATAGTTGTCCACAACTCAAATCAGAATATAAGAAGAAATGTTTTATACCACCTCAAGAAGGCTTCCTATCAGAAAGGTAGGAAGGTATTTCAAATGTACAACTGCAGTACTTAAATCTAAGTAAAGTAATTTCCCTGACATTACTGTGTTACGCATGTAACAGGTTTTATACTTCCTGTGAGTATAATCCAATCAATCTTATTTTCATACTGTATATCCGTTGTGTAATTTGATAAATTGTGTTGTATGTGGTGCTCGCATCGGGTACTACTGAGACTTCATTGCCCTCTTCAGAGAAGACTCTGACTGCAACATGCGTCTTTGTAAAGAGAGAAACAGACAGAAAGAGTCTCTAACTCTGCCTGTCAGCTCGCTCTGCTCCGTTAAAACTGAATTTACCATACAGAATTGAATACGAGTGCACTCCAGATTTAGCTGCAGCCAGCTGACCGTGTGCTTCTCCCTATACCGCAGTTCTGTGTCCATGCATGCAGCAAACTGAAAGCACTGTCTGTCGGAGCGTCTACGTGAAAAGAGAAGGAAGACATTGCTGGTAGTATTGTCTTCAGAGTTGTTAAACACCTCAGCGCACTGAAGGAAGCCATCTGACTGTGTGAGGGGCAAGATCGTTGATGTCTGCAGGCAGAGTAGGAGCTCTCCTGTCTGACTGGTCCACCAATAGCAGAGAAGATGACCCCTTGAGACACAGCCCCTCCTCATTTGCATAATGAGGCAGAAATGCATACAAAAATTTAAAAAAGACAGGCAGAAATAAATACCATGGGTGAAAATAAATAAGGTAAATAAATACAAAGGAAGAATAAAACAGACAAAAATATTAAAACACACACATAAATAAATACATTAAAAAAATTAGTAATAAATAAAGTTGAATAAACAAATAAGGTAATTATAACAAAGGTGAATAAGTAAAGGCACTAATTAAAATATATACATTTATGTCTCCTTGTATAATTTAATTACTACCTACATTTATTTATTTACTTAATTTTTTTGTGTATTTAATTGGATGCTTATTTATTTATTGAGCATTTATTTATTTCTGTATTTATTTCTGACTGTGTCAGGATCGGTCCTCCATAACGGGGTGGGAGAGTTATCAAGCACGTAAAGTTTGGTTCAGATGTGAGCATGTACACTGAAGTTACAACAACTTCCTGTGTCATGGCGAAGACTTGATCTCTGACGCCACGCCACGGACACACCCATTGACGAAAACTCGCAAATAGCACAACTTTTCATCTTCAATGCCTTTAGAAGGCACAGCACAAATTTGAAGTCGGTCGGACTAAATCCCTAGGAGGAGTTCGTTAAAGTACGAAGTGTGTAAATCATCCAAAATTTGACGTAAAATTCAAAATGGCCTACTTCCTGTTGATTTTAGGGCATCGCTCCAAGAGGCTTTTTTGTGCGTCTGGACAAGATACACGTACCACAGAAAATTCGTGCACGTAGGTAAAACGTGCGGCGGGGGCTGCTTCGTTAAAAGTCACTTCCTGTTGCCAGCAGGTGGCGCTATGACTGTCTGTGAATGTCAGCATGTACATGTGTTCAGGGCGGGACTCTAATCCTACATGTACAGTTTGGTCCAGATGTGAGCATGTACACTGAAGTTACGACAACTTCCGTGTCATGGCGAAGAGTTGATCTTTGACGCCACGCCACGGACACGCCCATTGACGAAAACTTGCAAATAGCACAACTTTTCATCTTCAATGCCTTTAGAAGGCACAGCACAAATTTGAGGTCGGTCGGACTAAATCCCTAGGAGGAGTTCGTTAAAGTACGAAGTGTGTAAATCATCCAAAATTTTACGTAAAATTCAAAATGGCCGACTTCCTGTTGGGTTTAGGCTATGGCTCCAAGAGACTTTTTTGTGCGTCTGGACAAGATACACGTACCACAGAAAATTCATGCACGTAGGTAAAACGTGCGGCGGGGGCTGCTTCGTTAAAAGTCACTTCCTGTTGCCAGCAGGTGGCGCTATGACTGTGGGTGAATGTCAGCATGTACATGTGTTCAGGGCGGGACTCTCATCCTACATGTACAGTTTGGTCCAGATGTGAGCATGTACACTGAAGTTACGACAACTTCCGTGTCATGGCGAAGAGCTGATCTTTGACGCCACGTCACGGACACGCCCATTGACGAAAACTTACAAATAGCACAACTTTTCATCTTCAATGCCTTTAGAAGGCACAGCACAAATTTGAGGTCGGCCGGACTAAATCCCTAGGAGGAGTTCGTTAAAGTACGAAGTGTGTAAATCATCCAAAATTTGACGTAAAATTCAAAATGGCCGACTTCCTGTTGATTTTAGGGCATCGCTCCAAGAGGCTTTTTTGTGCGTCTGGACAAGATACACGTACCACAGAAAATTCGTGCACGTAGGTAAAACGTGCGGCGGGGGCTGCTTCGTTAAAAGTCACTTCCTGTTGCCAGCAGGTGGCGCTATGACTGTGGGTGAATGTCAGCATGTACATGTGTTCAGGGCGGGACTCTCATCCTACATGTACAGTTTGGTCCAGATGTGAGCATGTACACTGAAGTTACGACAACTTCCGTGTCATGGCGAAGAGCTGATCTTTGACGCCACGTCACGGACACGCCCATTGACGAAAACTTACAAATAGCACAACTTTTCATCTTCAATGCCTTTAGAAGGCACAGCACAAATTTGAGGTCGGCCGGACTAAATCCCTAGGAGGAGTTCGTTAAAGTACGAAGTGTGTAAATCATCCAAAATTTGACGTAAAATTCAAAATGGCCTACTTCCTGTTGATTTTAGGGCATCGCTCCAAGAGGCTTTTTTGTGCGTCTGGACAAGATACACGTACCACAGAAAATTTGTGCACGTAGGTAAAACGTGCGGCGGGGGCTGCTTCGTTAAAAGTCACTTCCTGTTGCCAGCAGGTGGCGCTATGACTGTCTGTGAATGTCAGCATGTACATGTGTTCAGGGCGGGACTCTCATCCTACATGTACAGTTTGGTCCAGATGTGAGCATGTACACTGAAGTTACGACAACTTCCGTGTCATGGCGAAGAGCTGATCTTTGACGCCACGCCACGGACACGCCCATTGACGAAAACTTGCAAATAGCACAACTTTTCATCTTCAATGCCTTTAGAAGGCACAGCACAAATTTGAGGTCGGTCGGACTAAATCCCTAGGAGGAGTTCGTTAAAGTACGAAGTGTGTAAATCATCCAAAATTTGACGTAAAATTCAAAATGGCCGACTTCCTGTTGATTTTAGGGCATCGCTCCAAGAGGCTTTTTTGTGCGTCTGGACAAGATACACGTACCACAGAAAATTCGTGCACGTAGGTAAAACGTGCGGCGGGGGCTGCTTCGTTAAAAGTCACTTCCTGTTGCCAGCAGGTGGCGCTATGACTGTGGGTGAATGTCAGCATGTACATGTGTTCAGGGCGGGACTCTCATCCTACATGTACAGTTTGGTCCAGATGTGAGCATGTACACTGAAGTTACGACAACTTCCGTGTCATGGCGAAGAGCTGATCTTTGACGCCACGTCACGGACACGCCCATTGACGAAAACTTACAAATAGCACAACTTTTCATCTTCAATGCCTTTAGAAGGCACAGCACAAATTTGAGGTCGGCCGGACTAAATCCCTAGGAGGAGTTCGTTAAAGTACGAAGTGTGTAAATCATCCAAAATTTGACGTAAAATTCAAAATGGCCTACTTCCTGTTGATTTTAGGGCATCGCTCCAAGAGGCTTTTTTGTGCGTCTGGACAAGATACACGTACCACAGAAAATTCGTGCACGTAGGTAAAACGTGCGGCGGGGGCTGCTTCGTTAAAAGTCACTTCCTGTTGCCAGCAGGTGGCGCTATGACTGTCTGTGAATGTCAGCATGTACATGTGTTCAGGGCGGGACTCTCATCCTACATGTACAGTTTGGTCCAGATGTGAGCATGTACACTGAAGTTACGACAACTTCCGTGTCATGGCGAAGAGCTGATCTTTGACGCCACGCCACGGACACGCCCATTGACGAAAACTTGCAAATAGCACAACTTTTCATCTTCAATGCCTTTAGAAGGCACAGCACAAATTTGAGGTCGGTCGGACTAAATCCCTAGGAGGAGTTCGTTAAAGTACGAAGTGTGTAAATCATCCAAAATTTGACGTAAAATTCAAAATGGCCGACTTCCTGTTGGGTTTAGGCTATGGCTCCAAGAGACTTTTTTGTGCGTCTGGACATACACGTACCACAGAAAATTCGTGCACGTAGGTGAAACGTGCGGCGGGGGCTGCTTCGTTAAAGGTCACTTTCTGTTGCCAGCAGGTGGCGCTATGACTGTGGGTGAATGTCGGCATGTACATGTGTTCAGGGCGGGACTCTCATCCTACATGTACAGTTTGGTCCAGATGTGAGCATGTACACTGAAGTTACAACAACTTCCTGTTTCATTGCGAATCATCGACGCCACGGACACGCCCATTGACGAAAACTCGCAAATAGCACAACTTTTCATCGTCAATGCCTTTAGAAGGCACAGCAGAAATTTGACGTCGATCCGACTAAATCCCTAGGAGGAGTTCGTTAAAGTACGAAGTGTGTAAATCATCCAAAAATGGCCATAAAATTCAAAATGGCCGACTTCCTGTTGACTTTAGGCTATGGGTTCTTGAGGCTTTTTTGTGCGTCTTGATACGATACATGTCCCCAGAAAATTTCGTACATGTAGGTTGAACGTGAACGAGGGGCTAATCATTTCCAATTTTCAAGGTGGCGCTAGCGAGTCATTTTGCCACGCCCATGTGCGAAACTTGTAGAATACGAAATTTTTCACCGGTTCTGACATGTTTGCAAATTTTGGTGAGTTTTCGAGTATGTTTAGGCCATGTCATTTGGGCCTACTTTGCAGAAAAAAAAAAAAAAAAAAAAAAAAAAAAAAAAAAAAATAATCCGAGCAGATTCAATAGGGACCTCGCACGGTCGTGCTCGGGCCCTAATAATGCAGCCTATTTTTTACAGTCATTAGTACCTACTATTATTTACATTAAAACGATAAACAGACTTAAATTAACATACTTTCCATAACGAACTACGCTGCGCACCGCATGACCGACAGTATGGCTGCTCTTCTCCACCATCAGCCACTATATTGCGCACAGTTTTGACTGGAACATGAACTCAGCTGTAGTGTAGCCTACTGCTCTGTACTGACTGCATCTTATTTGTTTAGTACAGCGATAATGTGCTTGCTACTGTGTGTGCAAGCCGTGCGTAAATTAATAACACTTTAATATTATACATAGAGGGCGGAATTACGGTCTCTCCATGAGCAGAAGTCTTTGATGGTGTAATAGTATAATAACATTTAACAAAATGTGCAAATGAGCACCTTCTGACTATTAGTGTGTTTGTGCTTGATTGTCTTGCGCCACCGTCACAGTGGTGTCAACCAAAACAATAAATAGGTACAACTAACATGCTCATCGTTGTTACAACTAACCCAGACTCTTTATTGCTTCTATAATAGGCTGCCACTAAAAGAAAGCATGACTATATGAACAAATTACCCTTATGTAACCGAGGCTGATCAGTGCTTACAGAGGGAGGCTCCGTTGCCCTGTAGACATTTTTCTCCTCCTCCAACATATTAGGTTTTACCGGAATCAATTTTCGACTTTCCTTTTATTCAAGCTTCACAATAAAAGCCCATAACCTGCGGTGAGTGCTTAACACACGGCGAAATCAACTGAGTCAGAGCATATCACCAAAATAAAATACCTTTCACTTATACATGTGTCTGTTTAGTTGTGTAATTATTTATTAAGCAGACTACATCATTTTAATTTGTAGGGTGTTATTTAGGTTGTTATACAACTAAGAAATTATTCTTGACACATCCCACTTTTCACAAAATATTTCAGTATATTGCAGATGAAGAGTCTTGCATATTTATTTCTTGCAACAAATAACAATGTAACTTGGGCGGTTGCCTTATTTTTGCACAGACCAAACCCCTATTTTAATAATGTTACTGTACATTAAACAACTGTATATATAACCTAATGTTTATCTGTTGTTATACTCTGCATACTTATCATATACATAGATTGCTGTTCATACTGTGCATACATTTGCACTCTCTATTCTCTAACTCTGTCCACTTATAAGTTTTTAATATAGTCACATATACTGTATAATATCGGTGTAACTCCAGTGTTCATATTGTGAACATAACTGCACTCATCTGTATATATTATGCACTTCTGGTTAGATGCTAACTGCATTTCATTAGCTCTGTACCCGTACTCTCATAATGACAAATAATGTTAATCTAAGCAGAAGTGGTCCTAAATGAAGAGTCAGGTCTCGGAAATAAACGGAGCCATAAGAGCCAGCTCCCTTGAAAGAGCAGTTTTCCCATAACTTCTTCCTGATTGGAGAAATTGGACATGCTACAACTGACCAGTACTGAAGTGAACTGTACAGATAGGAATGGAAACAAATTTAGTCCAATTTGGACCTTTACCTGGCACAAAATGATCCCTGTGGGTTTTACCTGTGTGTCAATCCAGTGATGAAATGCACTACAGCTGAATGTACTTTCAACAACTATTTAATAAACAAAGAATACTTTTTCATGCTTTTAATATTATTTAGTTTGGGGTTGTTGAAGCAGTAAAATGCCTGGACAAACAGCGTGAGCTGTTACATCCAGGCATCAGATCATGACGCAAAAATTACAAACCAATCTGAGATGAAGCCAAAGAGCAACTTTCACAGAGGAACCATCACTGTAGTCTGAACCCAGGCTTGTCACAGCTTGCACTCAAAAACATCAGTGTACAGACAGAGATTGTACATTTTGAGAATTATAACGTACACGGCAAGACACCTGAAAGGCTTTTAACTTGTTTTGTGTATTTCTACTCAGCAGAGAATGTACAGAGGATCCCCCAGTGATCGCTGGTGAAGCGCCCACACTCCAGCTTCTCCAGCCCTATCAAGGCCATGCTGTCGGGTTCCAGCTGCGGGACCCCATCCTGGGCAGCCGGGCGCAGGTAAAGTCGGTCAAAGCGGAACTGACGCTTAAACTGAATATTTTTGTTGGTGTTGACCTGAGGGTCCCATGTGTAGCGGCAATTCTCCGGCTCTCCCAGCTGCTCCCACACATCACAGACGCAACCAGGAAGGCCAACTTCAGTCACCTAGGATGGGATAGCAGGTATGAACAAACAGGTGAGCTATGGATTGATGCTTGAACAATGTTTTTTACACGGTCACCTAAACCCCCAGGCCACCGGTGTGCACTGATCTGTTGTTTTATCTTAATACTGCTGGAAATATGTCATCTCTCCTCAAAGGTGAAGTCATTGCTCGGACCTTTTAAAGTTGTGGAGTTTCTCAAAGAACAACATCCCAGCCAGCCTGGACCCTCACCAGTTTGCTTTCAGAACCAACAGACCCACAGAGGATGCCATCTCCACTGCCCTCCACTCTGTTTTCTCCACGTGAAGGCTGTTTGTGGATTTCAGCTCAATCTCCCTCATGAAACTGATCGGCAAACTTAACACTCTGGGTTTGAGGGTTACTCCTGGTGCCTACATTATCCCTAATGCAACTGTTTGGTCAGAGATTCAGGTGTGTTGTTCTAGTAGCGGCTTATGTGGCCTGTAGCCTTTAGCCTGCAGCAGAGATGAGGAGCACAGAGGTCTGGTAAGCTCACTTCTTTCTAAAAAATGTTCATCTCCACCCAACGCTAACTCAAGTGATCATCAGTCATTTCACACCGCTTCCTCTGAAGACACCAAAGGATTTAAACCAGTTTTAAAACATACGCAGTTTCACTCCCCCAACACCGGTGGAGTTCCCCTTTATGCAAAATAGGGGAAACACACTCGGACCTCTGAGAGGACACAGAAAACATCATCCGACAAACCTCATCATCCGTCAGGTTGGTGTCTCCTCCGAACAGAACAGTGACATCAGCAGGCGCCTCTGTCATCCTCTTCATCACCAGTCGCAGCTGTCTCATCCGCTCTGCCGCACTGGGCTCACAGCTCTCTAAGTGGGACGTCATCAGACAAAGCTTCTGGCCTTTGAACAGCACCTGATTTTGAAGGAGAGACCTTTTTTACGTCTCTGCACCAGGAACAGGTGACTTGTAGCTCATGAGTGTGCACAAACCTGAGCGACAAGCAAGTTCCTCTGCATCTGAGTGGTTGGATAGGCGACTATCTCACTGTCCAGGAGTGTGATTCGAGACTTCTTCAACAATATCCCAGTGAAGTAATTTATAGTTCCACCTGATCAGCATGAGGGAACAGAGGGAAGGTTTAAAATGCAAATTAAATAATATAGTACATGTGAATATGTTTACTGTTTGTTGTGTTTGTGCTGGCAATGGCATTAGACTGAACCACATACTATTCTCTGTGTTTTGGGTCCATCAGTAGACTAGAGCTGGGCAACAACCAGTCACGCTCATGTTTATTACCTCGTGAAACAGAAGCAGAGAGTTGCTTTCTATCCACTCAACTACCTAAACAAACTTCAGACTAAAAGCAGGAAATGCTGGTTGATGCGATCAACGGCTTCCCAATCCTCTATAAATTAAGTTTATGACTAGATATGGGGAACTAAAACCTTGAACTCTTCCGGTTTCCACACAAAAATTACTTCAGCACACCTTTGAGTTGACTTACCCTTTGACTCAGTATTCACATCCCTCCCTCCCCAAACCTCCTCTCCCCCACATCCCTCAGTTCCTCCCTCCAGTCCTTTAATCCATCCTTCTCACGTCATCTCGGCTCTCCTCCATACCCTGCAATAAACCATTCTGAATCTACATCTTTGCAGGCGTGGTTTTAACACTGGTTAAGCCATGAGAAACGTTCAGCTGTGGATCAGTGGAGCTTGTCCTTATTAACAACAAGACTTAAAGAGAAGAAAGAAACATCCCATTTGTACATTTCGAGTGATATTTTGCCAATAAAACACCAGGTGACGCATAATGGGCGACTGAACACTGAACGGCACATGGTGCTGAATCAACAACGTTTGACTAGCCAGCAGTATTTAGACCCAAAGCAAAATCTCGCCCAGGGCCCCAAAAAGCTCACTCCATCACTTTGTTGCATGCACCTTCAATGAAGTTGTATTTGGCCGCCAGTTGTTTCTTCATGAAGCGGCTGTAAGAAGGGATGAGCTCCTGAAGAAACACCACGTCAGGGGAGTGTCTACGTGGAAATAAATTGAAGAAACAAAACTTTGTGATGATGAAACACTGTTACCAGCTCATTGTTTGTGCTATTAAGATGTGACATTAAGAATGTCAGATACTAAAACTCGTGCTCAGAAAACAGGTGGATGCATCTCTGCAGGTAGCCTACAACATCTGTTCTGCCGAATTGTGCATCCACCTTTTAAGTTCCTTTTCCTACACATTGCTGTGCACATTGATCAAATGCGGTATTAACCACGTTTTTGGCTGGTTTGACTAGACAATGTTAATTTCATAGGCTACATTTAATAAATTTTTTTATTTAGCCTAACCATTACCCCTTAACACTCAGTACAGGACACATGAAATCAAACAGTGGAATCTGATGGTCTTTGGCACTGACAGAGCTCATTTGACAGCTGACATTAGTTTTTCCACTTTAAAAAAAATAATTTTAACTCTCTGAAATACTTAAAAACACATCGATCAAGAACAGAAAATACTACACTCTTAGATATATCGAGAGATTAATCAAGGAAACCTTGTACACTTCAGTGCTAAGTGTAATAAAATGACTCTAAACGTTCATAAAATATTAAATCAATTCATTTGTCACCGTTGATGAACTCCACAGGACTTTGCCGTAGAAATCATTACAATATCAGTTTCCACTGGGAGGCACAACTCGACACAACACCTTGCTTACGAGATCAAGTAAGAGCAGAGGCTTCTCATTCTCTCAGGCTGTTCCTCTCCGTCAAGCCCATCCACGTTCCAGGAGATCAGCGACAGTTTGCTGTTTTCTTCTTCTTCTGATGGGTTTTCTGCAACATCACTGCAGACAGCAGGACTGTCCTGAGCCTCATCAGTGCTGTTGGATTTGAACAGTAAATAATACAGAATTGATTACCGTGTTAATGCATAAACAGCATCTTTAGTGGATCACATTGCATTGGTTTCGGACAGGGGAACTACCTGCTTCCTGGAGTATTTTCCTCACCCTTCTTTCTGTCGGTTGTGCAGCTGGTGGTGTTTTCCTCTAGTGACTTTTCTACACCACAAAGTTGCCCCATGTTAGTTTTGAAGAGTCAGTTTCAAGCTCTCTGAAAGACATGTAGTAGCAAAGATACCGTGGAGTCATACTTACTGTGACTCAGCCCTAAAAAAGACTGCGGCACCTTTAAAACAAACACTCATCAGAGACAGAGACAACTGTTAACTCCGAGCTGAATCCCGCTGACCATGTGTCAAGAGGAATGCCTGCGATTGGTGGGCCAGAGTTTTTAACAAAGGACAGGAAACACTGGCCAGTTTCCCCAGCCGTGAGATATATACACACAGTTAAAGAAGCAGTAAGTTACTGCCACAAACACGCATGAGAATCCATTTAACAAGCTTGTTATTATTCAGAGTGGCACTGTTTAAAAAGGGCAGTTTCATGAATGATGAAATATAAACAGCTACTTCAGAGACGGAGCGCACAATGCAAGCTTATCACATCCCAAACAAGTCATCATTTAAGTCATGACAAGAAAACTGAAATGGTTACACACAAAATGCAGCAGCTCACCGGTGAAGATGTTGTTCCAGCAGAAATTGAGATACTCAAGTTTTGTCAAAATCAAAGCTTTAGTGATGAACTTCCAGCTCTTCAGGAAGGTGACACACTTAAAGGAAGCAGTCACTTGTAAAGCTTGATTTTGTTATGTAAGATGGGATTTTACGGGTCAGAGGAAGGTTGCATCAGTCTGCACTGCCAGCAGACATTAATCATCCTGTGATACTTCCTAAAGATCAACATGTCTTCATGTCGCTCCTCAGATATATTTACAAAGAAACAGGACATAGTGAGATAAGTTATATGCTATCCCGGGCTGAGAGAGAGATTCTGGATCCCACAAGCACACTCTGCTGTTAGGAAAATATTGCTGTGTAACATATAAAGGATTTCAGCAAAACCTGGAGAACAGAGGATGGGATAATTCTTAGAAATGTTCCTGCAAAAGGGCATTACCTAGATTTTCAACCCCACAGCTGGTTTGCAGTTTGGTGGCATCTGGGAGAGACTGATTCGTAATGTGAGGAAATTTCTCAACCAGATTCTGAAACAGCAACAACTTGAAGATGAAGGCCGTCATACATTGTTGTGTGAAGTTGAGGCAATTGTTACTGGCAGGCCGATAACCATAACTGTCAACATGGGGATTTGAAAATAAGGGAAATAATAAAGGACAACAAATAATCAACTTTATTAATAAGCATTTTTAATATATCAGACATTATGTACTTTAACTGATCCATCCAAATGCAATCCATTTTAGGGATATAAGCATTTAATCGCAAAGTGATTTTATTTTATTTCAGTTTTCAGAAAAAATTGTAAATGCTGCTTATTTATAGAGCGCCTTTCTAGTCTTTTCTACCACTCAAAGCTCTTTTACACACATCTGCATTCACACACATTCATACTCTGGTGGAACATCCACCAGGGGCAATTCGGGGTTCACTATCTTGCCCAAGGACACTTCGACAGGAAGGGGCAGACTTTCTTAAAAAAAAGGTTCAAATTTGAAGTAGATCCCTGCATATTTTGTGAGGCTGCTGGGGAGACTCTGGAACACATGTTCTTTTCCTGTCCCTTGTCCAAAACCTTTTGGTCTGATTTACATAATTGGCTGTCACTTAAGATTGATAATATTCCATCTTTTAATTTGTCACACATCCTCTTTTATATGGACAATGTAGATCCGCCTTTGTCTGATCTGGTGAATATGATTGTTCTCATGGGTAAATATCATATCCATTGTAGTAAGTGGAAATCTTCTAAGCCTTCCTTTTTGTGGTTCATAAATAATTTTAAGTTGTTCTTTTCATCACTGAAGAATGTTAAATCTAGTATAATTGCAAGAAAGATGTGTAGAGTTATATCCAGGCAATTATTGTTTTAACAATCTCCCCTTATTGCTGTACCGAAATGAGACCTTATTTTGTTTTCTATAGCCTTTTTACTATCTGGTACCCCCATTCTCCTTTCTGTTTATTCATTTATTTTCATTTATTTCCTGTGTTTGTAAGACTGGTTTTTGATTTGTACCAACTGATCTATGTTTTTTTTGTTCCCCATACGAGAGTGTTGTATGTTAATGTGTCATAATAAAAATAAAAATAAAAACAAAAAAAATTCGACATGCATGGAGGAGCCGGGGATTGAACCGGCGACCTTCCGATAATCTACATCCTGAGCCACAGTCGCACCAGAAAGAGAAAGAAAAAAGGAACCACACACGGACCGGACCGTAACCTAACAGGGAGTAACAAGTAATTTACATTACCTTATTACTAGCCTACTCCTACTCACACATTGACAAAAAACATGCAGGCATCAGCACTGTGTGCATCTTCAGATCAGTTAACAACACAAAACTAACCTCTTTGCCGTGTTTCTGTTGTACTGTGTGTGTTACCCAACAGGTCCGTTGGTCAGTGTAACATCTCTATTTCACCACATTACTACAAGCATGTTACCAACGAGGATTCACAACACACTTATCTCTAATCCTGGGAAACCAGCGTGTTATTTAGAGAAACATAAACCCACCTGCACGTAGAAACATAGAGGCAGAAAACTTTGACCTGAGTTCAGCTCCACTGCAGGATTCATTCTTCCCTTTCAGGGATTTTAAATCCTTTAAGCGCCATCTAGTGACCTCATTTTTAAACACCACCCTGCCACAGGAACAACAGGAATGACACTTTAGGCCCTATTTAAGACACAATGCCATTGGAAAAAAAAACTTCCTGTAAATAGGCCTACACAACATTTCTTACGCTTAGGTAAGCAACTCAGCTGCAACTACCAAATGCAGAAAGAACAGCTGTCAAAAATCGCTGAACAGGTTTATATTATCACTGCCCCATCATTAGGGCTAGAGTAGATCTGACTGTAATTTCATTTGTTTATTCCATTAAATGAATGTGTTGCTTGGATGTATTATTATTATTATTGTTATTGTTATTATTATTATTATTATTATTAACCTCAAACCTCAAATCATGCTTATATTAATATTATGTAATAATAATAATAATAATAATGATTATTATCAGGGGATAATTATTTTTATTATTGCTGGTGTTATTCATTTTAGGCGGAACCTTTGAAATACGCTGTTGTTTGACGTCGGTGCTGGAATCTTTAACCATCAACAGGAACCGGCGGCAGTTTGCAGCAGCGTCTCTTGCTCCAGATGTTGGTAGTTTTTAAGTTTTAGCTCTTGTTTTAATATTTTAAAATGTCTCCGGGTGTGTTATGAAGTGTTATAGGATAACAATAACAGAGTTTCATGTAATTATGTTAAACAAAGTCCTGAAAAACAAAGAGTTAGCTTAGTGAGTTCCCTCCCTGCTGCCTTTCCTTGAATCAACGTTAACTGGCAAAAATAACTAAAAGTGGGCGATTTCGCTGTATATATCGCTTATTGTGTTACCGAAATGGTCGCTGACTTTACAAATACACTCATGGTTTAAAATAAGCTACAAATATACACAAATATTTGCCTAAGCAGTGAAACTTTAAAATTCAGAGATTTATAAATTGAGTTTGGTGTGATTTTTACCAGCTTCTCTCGTCTTGAATTAGCTAAGGTTAAACGTTAAAACCTGTTAGTTTTTGAATAAAAAAGAAAGACCGATCAACCACAGGTACTTATTTCTGTTGTTTGTACCGTTTTCCTTCGCCCACCGCAGTGGAATATGAACGGCAACGCAGTTTTAAAAGTAGGGCCAAATGTATTGCTTATTTTACTGGGTTTAATACTGGCCGCCGAATGAAAGAGTAGCTTCCATTTATGCAGACAGTCAAAAATCATGTGGCAACTCGGAAGATTGTGTGCTGATAAACCAGGGAACTTTAAAGTCATAGATTTTTAAATGGAGTTTGGTGTGACGTTCGTTGCCTAAAGGCGAGAACGGAGCGTGTCAGGACAACATCCTCCCCCGATACCCTCTAACCGCTGGCAACCGTGTTCGGCTTTGCGTGGCTGTATATTGAAGTCATAAAGTTACTGATTTGGTGTTTTTGCCATTTCCAAATTGGCGTGAGTCAGCGCACCGTGTTTCAAATGGCGACTGACGAGAAATGCCTCGTTTTTATTCCCTGAAAACAGCCCCATTACAGGTCAGAAGAGAGGAGCCGGTAACCCGCAGGAGCTGCCACTGCAGCCTCCATCCTGCAGGGTGGTGATTATGCGGCCGGGACGGCGTCTGTAACGCGGCTTTAACAGATCTGAGTCCAGGCTTTTGGGGCGCATTCCTCTGGAGGTGAGTGATTAAGAAACAGGGTTGATAAAAAGGAGAATTACGCCGTGGTTTTTATATTTGGGTGTGGGCGTTCATTGGCATCCACTTCTTCCAGGAACAATCTCAAAACATTCAGGAGCTTCTACCTTTTTTAGTGTTACTCTAAGACACAGAAAGTTAAGAGGAACTCACTGGGAAATGTTAGGGCTACACCTTGGATGTTGCTGAGGTGATTCATAATAAAACATAGTATACAGGAGTCAATATAAAAGGAGTGATTAAAGCTGTGCATCTATATTGCACTTACATTAAGATGCCTCTAAAGACCATTCCCCTCTGATATGACTTTCATCTTTGTTTAAAACATGTGTACATACATGAAAATAAATTAAGAATTCTGAAGGTTTCACTTCCTATAGGTTTATATTACAGACAAATACGTTTAACACTACAATACCCATGAGCCTCGGCTACTGTCGCTACTGAGAAGAAGCTGATCAGACGTGTGAATTAGAGCTGTAGTCAATTCAGAACATTTCATTGATTTAAAGTGCTGAACGGTTTATCAGGTTTAAGCAAAGTGAAGCTCTGTGATTGGATGCAGCTTACTGAAATGCATCTTGGTAATCGTAGTTGATTTCTCCTTCAGTTTTTAAGCTCACAGTACTTTTAGACTTTTTATCTAAAAACCAGATCGTTTCTAACATAGTTATTTGTCTTTTGAGGATTCAACCAGGAGAGTTTCTTCAGAGACAGCTCTCGGCCTCCTAACATTGTCTAACTCCAGTCTTTCCTTTCTGTTCAGTCCGTTTGGTACCTTGTTTTTGGGCCATGATGGAGGCCAGCGGAGCCCCGACTGAGGTCCTCCTGCAACGTCCATGGCTTCCTGTGAGCATCAGCTGCTGCCAGCTGCTAGCCAAGAGCTGGTTTGGGGAAACGGCGTACCACGTCCTGCTGACTGACATGCACTGTGTGTGGGAGGAGAGGATGGACTCAGCAGGCATCCAGAAGAGAGCGCAGGTACACACAGCGCTCAGTGAATTATTATTATTTAATCTGTTAGCAAAAAAATATCAAAAGATGAATTGTTCAATAAATAAATCCTGTTTTTTTTTTTTTTCCCCCTCCCAGGAGCTGAACAGGCGTTTGCGAGCCCCGGTCAAAGCCTTCTTCTCCCACCTGTGTGAGGTGGTTCAGCCCTGTCTAACAGGAAGTGACGGGCGACCCGACGGTCAGGTGCTGGTGTCCCTGACGCGACAGGAGGATGGCAACATCAGCATGAAGCTGAAGAGCGAGCTGGCAGGGCTGCCCTTCTACTGGGAGTTTCACTGCACCCCAGCCCCCATCACTGTGGTACGGTCCACTTTTCAGGTTTAAAGAGTGGATCAGGCTATTGTGGGTTTTGAACTGTGATATTATGGTTTTGCCACCACGCCACCAAGTTATAGTGTCTTTTTATTAGGGATCCAAGCAGCTGGAACCCTATTGTTTTTGTTTTTTCTTTCTTTCTTTCTTCTTTTTCTACACTAAAAGTGTTTGGGCAGCAAAAACTGCTGGGTGAAAACTCACCAAAATTGGCACGTAGGTTGCAAATTCCACCCACTACTCAGGCAAAAAAATTGGCCCTCATATACTTCATGGTGGCGCTATAACAATCAACTTTGCGTTTTTGCAATTATCTCGAAAAAGGCTTAGTCGTCGCTGATCAGAAGTTATCAAAAGAATTTGGATACGTCAATCCATTTGTTTTTTTTTCATAAATTTTTACTTTTGTGTATTTACGTATAATTTTACATAAATAAACGTAAATCAAAATTGGCTTGAGCTATTGTCACCAAACTTGATGCGTCTGTTCAGATGCTCGGTCCGAGCTTCGCTGAGCAGGCCTGGGATATTCTTCCACTAGGGGGCACTACACTTGTAAAAAGTTTATACCTCGTAATTCGCTGTATGGATTCGTACAAAATTCGATTTGTATCATTTCTCATTCCAAACTTAAAAAAATCTTCTGTACGTCCTCGAGAGCTGAAACCTTTTCAGCACATCCATTGATATGTGACTAACGTTTGCCTCACTGCAACCTGTGCTCAATTCAGAAGTCAGTCACTCTATATTTTTAAGACTATGCTAAATCAATTAACATCTATATCTCCACAAGTCTTTCTTCAAATGCTACCAAAATCAAGACATCACAGACATTCTCTTGATGGCCGATATCAAGTGTCGCAAAAGGTTTTTAGATTGGTCTAACAGTGAGTCTGCAGTGATATTCAGTGTATTGCTATAACTTGTACAGTATGCACAACATTTTCTTTTTTGCTCAGTTTGCTCTCAAGTCTCTTCTCCTCTGAAAATTTTTCATAACTGGCTAGGATCCCGATCATTGCCGCTCGAGGCTATATTTAATTCTTGCTCTTGGCCATGGCCACCAAATTTGAGCATTTTGACCTGGGAATTGGTTGAGAAAAGTTCAAGCACTTTCTTCCTGTGATGTTTCAGAGGATTTTCTACTTTGTAAAATCCCAACTTCTGTGAGAAATAATGTGACAATCTGTCCTTTTCAACACAAGTGGTAAATTGAAGTGTAAGCTTTAAATGCTTCACAGTCATAGAGCAACAAAAAAAAATCCAACACAGTCTGATTTTGTTTGAAGAAAATCTAACTGATAAATGTCTTGAGCCGTGACATGATCTGTGATTTGAAGTGAAGTTGGGATATTTTCAAGTTAAAAAGTGGTTTTAAAAAAGCCAAAACCCAAAAAAGTTTTATAGAAAATGAGCAAAAAAGTCACACAGGAAATGAAATTAGTCCAAGTGCATTTAAAGAGCAGGTTTATAAAAACATCCCACAGTCAACTGGATTGTGTGTGCGTGTTGTCAGGTGTGTGTTCAGCTGGTGCGCCCCCTGCTGGCGATGAGTCATCTGCTGCAGCGGCAGGTGGAGCAGCTCGCAGGTCTGCTGGCGAGGAAGGACGCAGAGATCCAGGACTACAGAGAGAACGGAGCCACGCTCAGCAGAGGTAAACACACATACACGTACAGTAACGTAACACACGTACAGTAACGTAACACACACGTACAGTAATGTCGCACACACGTAACACACATACACACGTACAGTAATGGAATTCACACGTACAGTAACAGTTTACGGTCAGTGGATCACTTCACAAATCTGAGGCAGAACATTCAAAACTATTCTGATAAAATCTTTTATTTTATCAGAATTGAAATATACACGAGTAAAAAAGTAAAAGCTTTTTTCAGTCCTTTTTCCTCAACAAAATAAACATTTTAATAAAAATGAAGTCCTAATTCGTGATTCAAGTGAATAAAATCAAAACTTTATTGAACTTTTATTTTTTTTATTCTTTATTTTTTACAGGCAAGCCATTAAGAACAAATTCTTTTTTTTTTTATTTTTTTTTTTTATTTTTTTTTTATTTATTTATTTTTTTTTAATATTTTTTTAATTAAATAAAAATTAAAAAAAAAAAAAAAAAAAAAGAACAAATTCTTATTTACAATGGCGGCCTGACAAGTGGGGTAACCACTTAGGGAAAAGGAAATGGGGCTGAAATAAATACAGTACATTAGAAATACATACAGTTTTAGCAATAACATAAAATACAAATTAAAAACACAACGCAACATTTTTTAAAATTATATTGTTATTGAAAACAAATTAAATTGCGGTAATCATTGTTATTGTTTTATTGTGCAGCTCCACTCCAAACCAATCAGAGACTGACCAGCAGCTTAATCAATAATTTAATGAATGAAAACAACCCACAAAAATTAAACGGCTGTTTTGTCCAACTGGATTAACGTTGTAGCCTCTAGTGGGAAGCTATGTTAGTACGAGATAATGCATACTTAGTGTTAAATGTTATTTATACTAGTTTCTCCTTCGGGTTGGGGTGAGTACCTACTGGCACCGGTTCTTTTCCACTTCAAGCACTGAATAAACGGATGTAAAGAGGGTTGATAGTTCAGAGTGCTCTACAGGAGGCGTAGACGGCATCAGGGGAAGTTAGAGACGGACACATTCAGCAGGGGTGTAAAGGAATAAAACAAAAGATTACACGTACAGTAACGTCATTCACACCATTCATACGCACAGTAACGTAACACACGTACAGTAACGTCATTCACACCATTCATACGCAGAGTAACGTCATTCACACGTACAGTAACGTAACACACACACATGTACAGTAACGTACAGTAATGTAACACACACACATGTACAGTAACATCATTCACACGTACAGTAACGTCATTCATACACACAGTAACGTAACACACGTACAGTAACATCATTTACACCATTCATACGCACAGTAACGTCATTCACACGTACAGTAACGTCATTCACACGTACAGTAACGTCATTCACACCATTCATACGCACAGTAACGTAACACACGTACAGTAACGTCATTCACACGTACAGTAATGTCATTCATACGCACAGTAATGTAACACACGTACAGTAACGTCATTCACACCATTCATACGCACAGTAACGTAACACATGTACAGTAACGTCATTCACACCATTCATACGCACAGTAACGTCATTCACACGTACGGCAACGTCATTCATACGTACAGTAACGTCATTCACACCATTCATACGCACAGTAACGTAACACACGTACAGTAACGTCATTCACACGTACAGTAACGTACAGTAACGTCATTCACATACGTACAGTAACGTCATTCACATACGTACAGTAACGACATTCACACGTACAGTAACGACATTCACACACGTACAGTAACGACATTCACACACGTACAGTAACGCACAGTAACAACATTCACACGTACAGTAACGACATTCACACACGTACAGTAACGACATTCACACACGTACAGTAACGACATTCACACACGTACAGTAACGACATTCACACACGTACAGTAACGCACAGTAACACACGTACAGTAACGACATTCACACACGTACAGTAACGCACAGTAACGACATTCACACACGTACAGTAACGACATTCAGACACGTACAGTAACGCACAGTAACGACATTCACACACGTACAGTAACGCACAGTAACAACATTCACACGTACAGTAACGACATTCACACACGTACAGTAACGCACAGTAACGACATTCACACGTACAGTAACGACATTCACACGTACAGTAACATATAGTAACGTCATTCACACACGTACAGTAACGACATTCACACACGTACAGTTACGTCATTCACACGTACAGTAACATACAGTTACGTCATTCACACACGTACAGTAACGTCATTCACACGTACAGTAACGTAACGTCATTCACACGTACAGTAACGTCATTCACACGTACAGTAACGTCATTCACACGTACAGTAACGTAACACATATATGTACAGTAACGACATTCACACACGTACAGTAACGACATTCACACACGTACAGTAACGCACAGTAACAACATTCACACGTACAGTAACGACATTCACACGTACAGTAACGACATTCACACACGTACAGTAACGACATTCACACACGTACAGTAACGCACAGTAACACACGTACAGTAACGACATTCACACACGTACAGTAACGCACAGTAACGACATTCACACGTACAGTAACGACATTCACACACGTACAGTAACGCACAGTAACGACATTCACACGTACAGTAACGACATTCACACACGTACAGTAACGCACAGTAACGACATTCACACGTACAGTAACGACATTCACACGTACAGTAACATATAGTAACGTCATTCACACACGTACAGTAACGACATTCACACACGTACAGTTACGTCATTCACACGTACAGTAACATACAGTTACGTCATTCACACACGTACAGTAACGTCATTCACACGTACAGTAACGTAACGTCATTCACACGTACAGTAACGTCATTCACACGTACAGTAACGTCATTCACACGTACAGTAACGTAACACATATATGTACAGTAACGACATTCACACACGTACAGTAACGACATTCACACACGTACAGTAACGTCATTCACACGTACAGTAACGTCATTCACACGTACAGTAACGTCATTCACACGTACAGTAACGTAACATATATATGTACAGTAACGTCATTCACACACATACAGTAACGTCATTCACACGTACAGTAACGTAACATATGTACAGTAATGTAACACACACATCAACCTCAGATTTTTTGTGGAGCCACATGTGGTTCCTCACAGCAGAGAGATCAATGCTTTATAACATGTCCATAATACAAATGTGTGTGTGTTTGAACCCAGCGCGGCTGCAGACGGACGTTTTTGTGGAGCAAGCCTTCAGAGAGGACTTCATGTCAAAGGTGAGAGGTCATGGACACACACACACACCACAGCCCCTGCAGCTTGCTGTTTGGGCCTGTTTTTACTGTCCTCTCCGCTCGGTTCCTGATCGTTAACCAGCTGTGGCGAGCGCGGCAGGAACCACATGATAAAACACTGCGGCCGCTGGAACAGTCGGCGCTCTCTCCGCCTGAAACGCGAGCCGCCATGACACACTTTCAAGCCGCTGTGTGTTACCGTCAGCCGATCAGGACGAGACGAGGGGGCTGAGTTTTCAAATGTTCTGCGTATAGAGTGTGTTTACTGTATTCAGGTGGGGAATTTCTCATCTGTGACTCTGTTGAACCCTGACTCTAGAGAGAGAGAGAGAGAGAGAGAGAGAGAGAGAGAGAGAGAGAGACTGATTGACTGACCGGGCATTTCAGATCTACATGTTGAAGTTTTAAGGGCTGTCTGTGAGCTCCCTTCGTGTCTGTTTTTTACATTTTTATTTCCTTTGCGGTTCAGTTTCATGTTCTTTTTTTAGTTTTGTCTCAAATCTTTAGTTTTTATTCATTTTCAGATCTTGTTTTAGTATTTTTAGTAACTATAATCAGAGCAGTTCAGACCAAATATGTGATACTTTTTCTATAAAACAAACAATTTGAGCGGTAGCATGATTATGTTTTCTATTCATCACTTTATAATGTATGCAAGAAGACTGAAACATCAATGAAACATCATATTTTCTTTTAGGAATATTTTTTAATTTTTATTTTTTAAACCTGTCCTGCCCAGCAGCCTGGTATAGAGTATGATGACCTGGATACCATATTGTGCCAGACAGATTTTACTTTAACAAGAGAGTATTAAAATACTTCTTTGTCTGTTTTATTATTTATTTAATTATGTATTGATTTGTCACCGGGCCGGACAGGGGGGCAGACACGGGGATGGGGGGGCACAAACAGACAGCACAGAGAAAGGACAACACCTGCAAGAGAAGGGGGAAGGTGGGGACTACAGGGAAAAGCAGAGGGAAACACTAAACACACAATTGCAGAAAGCAACAAAATCTGCAATAGAACCGAGAGGGGGGCTTGGGGAGGAGAAAAACAACAACAAACAAACACAAACAAAAACAAACAATAAAAATAATAATAGTAGTAGTAAAGGACAACCAGCCGAACAGCAGCAATAAACAGCTGACATAGTAAGACAACTAAGAGAACAATGAAAACAAGAAACAGTCACACACACTAAATAAGCAACACAACACAGCCACGAGAGCTGGAATAATAATTAATTTAAATAAGTAACTGAAAGAAAAGCATCAGGAATAATTCTACCAGGGACAACCTAAGTTTGTTTGTGTCTGTGTGTGTCTGTGTGCGTGTGGGTGAATGTGTCTGTATGTGTGTGTGTACATGTGTGTGCGCATAAGCCTGTTAAAGAATGTAGTTGTTAGAGAGAGTGTGACGCCACGACTGTAACAGGCAGGCAAGAACCCCAGTAGCCAATAGGGGTGGGAGAAAGAAAAAGAATAAATCAATAAAAAAAAAAAAACAAAGACTCCCAGATGCACCGCGATGCAAACGCAGAAGACCCCGACCCAAATGCCAGTTGACAACGTAATGCCGACGGAACGCAAAAGGCGTAACCCGCGGAAGAGCAGCGCCCGGACCGACCGCGGCGCGCACACAACATAGACCAGTGCCCCCCCCCCCCCACCCAGCAGCCCACCGCCGCGCAGCGAACAACCAAAAAGCCCAAATGCCACGCAATCATCAACACCAATGCACAAGTGACAAGGCCAACGCGCACACTGCGCGAGCACGGCGACACCCAATGCCCAGCAGCCCCCCCGTGAATCCCACGTGCAAGGTCGGGCAAACGAGAGAGAGCAAACGGAACAACACGACAGCGAAAGCCAGCCGAGAGAAACACCAGCAGCAAGTCCCAGCCCGGCAGCAAACGCGCCGCACAGGTCACCGTGCACCCGCCAATAAAAGTCCGCCGTCCCCCCAACCGGCGGAAAAAACTAAGGCCGCCGGCGCCAGCCGACATCCCCCATGCCCAGCGCGCCCCCCGGCCGCCATGCAACACCAGCCAAACCAGCAACGAGGCAAAATCAACTAGCTCAGCTGCAGGCCACCAACAACCCACTCGTCAAGGGCCGAGAACTCCAGGCACAAACCCAGAACAAACCGGAGCACAGCCCGAAAACTAACTATATACCTCAGTATCCAGAGGGGTCCAACAACTGGCCGACAGAGAAATGGGGAAGCACGGATCCGAGGCCAACGAAGCAAAACAGGGACGCAAACTGGTCCCTCCAAGCCAACGAGGAGATGCCTCCCCCGGACTCCAATGCACAAACTAAACGCCCAGCAGCCATCCAGAGACCCTGCCCAGGGAAAAAGCACAATGCATCAAGATGCATCGACAATCGCCCCACAATCCCACCGCAGCCCACCAAACCGCAATCGGATCAACCCGCGCAGAGACCCCCACCCCCAGAAGCCAGGGCACCCTGCGACCCCCCAAAGCGCAAAGGACCCCAGACCGCGTGTCCCGGGGGAAGCTGTACCCCGCCCCAAGGAAGAACAGCAGAAGGCTTGCCGGGAAGCTCCCTGCCGCCAGGGAGCGATAATGCGGGAGAACGAGGCCAACGGTCCCCCAGCCCAGCCAGAGGCATCCCTCCCTACAGTGCAGGCAGTGACAGCAGCCCCCGAGGCCGATCTCGTCCCCGGACGGGGGCCCAGTCAAGCACCCCCAAGGAGGAGCACCAAAACCTACGCCGGCCATGCGCCCCAGAGAATTCTTTTAGGAATTTATGTGCGAGACATCCGGACATCTGCTTTAGTGATCTGCAATTGTAAGTCGCTTTGGATAAAAGCGTCAGCTAAATGAATAAATGTAAATGTAAAATGTTTCTGCACAGATAGAGCACAAATGTCTGCTCACTATTGTGTCTGAAATCACTCCTTATTTACTAAATAGTGCACTTTATTTACTGTCTGCCATTTTATGTGAGCGTGTAAAAGTTTCCACTACGTAGTGTCCATGACATGTACGCTGTTTTATGCTCACAATCCCATAATGCATTGCTCACATGCCAAAATCAAGTCAAGTAAAGTTTTACTTGACTTGATACTTTACTTAAACTTTACTTAAACTAAAATCTAGAATATCAAAGGAAGAAGTAAATTAAACACAGAATGCATAAAGTCAAAGTGAGGTTTATTTAAAGTGTAAAATCGCCAACGACATGGTCGGTTTGATAAGAACACACATGATAAGATACACAAAATACAATAAAATACATAATGATGAACAAGAAGACAATAAATAATTATAAAATTGATAAGAAATCATAAAATGAAGTACTAGTATCTAATCAATTGATCTAATCATCGAGTATCTTATTGATTGTTCCTAGTAAAATGGAAAAGTTACTAGTAACCCTTTAATAGCGACTAGTAAGTTTTAAGGAATAAATGTTAAAACGGATTTCCATAGAGCTCCATAGATTTCAATGACAAAAATGTGCAATTAGTTACTAACAAAAACTTATTTACTTGTAATTAATGAATCGGTTATTAGTGACTAAAAAATAAGTACTAGTACCTAATCAATTGTTACTAGTAAAATGGGATTAGTTACTATTAGTATCTAATGGAATAGTTACTAGTAACCAATGAATAAGTACTAGTAACTTTTAAATAGAGAGTAGGAATACATATTAAAACGGCTTGCCATAAGATCAGTCCGTCCATCTTGTAGATGTGACCGTTAAATTCACTACGAGACAGCTAGACACCCGGAGTCACGACAAAAGCTGTGTTTAGACTAAAGGAACTATACCCCGGAACTAGGAACCTTTGGAGGAACTCAGCAAACAGCTGATGGAGTTACGCTAAATACTGGGTCCGAAGTTTTCATCAGTCAGGAGGTTTGTACACGGAGCTGAAGTTGGTCTCATCTCCGAAACAAGCGGAACAGCTGATTACAGCAGGTAATAAAGCTCATTAAATATCCCGTTCCTCCGACGCTCAGGCGACACAGACTTGATGCTGCAGCTGGTCTAATAATATGACCTTCCAAACTGTCGCTGTTTTAGTTTTTTGTTGCTTTCTCTGTGCTGCAGTTATTTTATGAACTTGATGGCTTTATGCAGTTTGTTAACGAACTTTATCGTGTGCCTCTGCATGATAGTCCCACTCAAAAAAGCTGTTTTTATTGGTCAAGCAAAGCCTGTAGATTTTCATTCCATTCAAATCTGATGTTTTTGCTCATGGAAAGTGGTCACTAAATAATGATGCCTGTACATCGCTTTGTACGGCGTACAGACATACAGCCTACGTCAACTGGTTAATTTGCCTAATCTTCGCAGGTCTTTAGACCGCGGTGGAAACACATACAACAATGGGCTTTAGGAACCTTTTAGTTCCTTGAAAAGAGATCCGGGGACTAAAAAGTCCCTGGTACTTTTGGTTGAAACGCGACTAAAATGACTCAAGACGTGAAATGACACTTTGTTCAACGAGGGTCATGTGATTTCACGTGAAGGTCGTTAAGGAACTTTTAAAGGTGAACGTCACAGAACTTGATCAGAGGGGAAATTTCTCCTCCGTTTGTCCCTTTGCAGGAAAACACCGGAGTATAATTCACAGTTTGTTTGACTCCTCAGTTGCATCATTTGGTGGTTTTCAGAGAGGAAACCAGTCTGTTGATGTTGTTGTTTGTCTAAAGAGGACAAACCAGGAAAGAATCTTTCTTTAGGTGGTGGAAGCGGTCCAGCTCAGGTGCGGGGAGTCATGGAAAGTTACATCAGGGTCACAGTGGCGGCTCTGTTTTCTGCTTGTTGGGGATCACATCGCTGGACCGTGAAGACGAGCGCACAGTCAGAGACCACAGAAGAAGAAGAAGAAGAAGAAGAAATGCTGCAATCGTTCAAAGTCTTCCTCCTCGTGGCAAATTCCACCGGGCTGCGACGAGGCCGCCTCCAGACCAAAGTCCAAACTGAAATAAAACTTGC